CCCGCCCCCCCCCCCCCAAACCCCCCCTTACCGGGTTCTGCAGAGGAGCTGCCGTCTGGCTCGGATCAGGAAAACAACATGGCTGCCGGCAAAAAGTCTTTTCTTAAAGGGGCCATGCTGTTTTTATTTTTTAAATTTTTTTTGCTTAATTACTGTTGGGGTTATTGCTTAATAACTTAGGTCTCCCCCTTTTTTTTTCCTCAACAGAATTTTTTCCCTGGTGTTTTTTTTTGGGGGGGGGGCTGTTAGTAATTTTTGGTTAAACCATCTGGCAACCCTACGCCCTGCCTCCTCCCTCCCTGGTGCTCCAGAGGCTAGAAGGGGGGAGCATGCGTGTGATGCGCCACCCACCTCCTGAGGGTGGGAAAGAGGAGGGGCCCAGCAGAAGGGGTGTGGGGCTGGGAACTTGCCTCCCGCAGCCCCCCTTCACTGACCACCCACGATGCACTTCCCAGGGAGCTGGGAGGGAAGCTGAGGGGCCGGTTCCGTGCCAGGAAGGCGGAGGCGTGAGGTGCTACTGGCAAGTGGGTCTCATGGCAGGGGCGTGCGATGAGGCGCTGTCGCTGCTCAGTCCCCAAACTCTTCTCCTTGCAGGGGACGACAAGGCGACGATACCCGTGACAGACACGGAGTTCAGCCAAGCTGTGAACCCCCAGAGCTTCTGCACGGGAGTGTCCTTGCACCACCCGGCTCTGATCCAGAACACGGGCCCCTTGATCGACATGTCCGACATTCGACCTGGAACCAGTAAGTACTGGGAGCTGGCGGCAGGTCCCTGGCCCTGCAGAGGCAGAGAGGAAGCTGAGCCAGGCCCGAGTATCCCAGCCAGCGAGTGGGACATTAGCAGGGAAGCTGGCTGCTCTCAGCCTGCCTTGGGCGGAGTTAGCCAGCCTCTGAAGGGTTTGCCAGAGCCAGTCCCCCAGGTCAAGGCAACGCGTGTGCACCCAGCTGGCAGAGCCCTGCTGGGGCTAGGCATGAGAGAGCCATGGCAGAGCTCATGTAGGCAGCAGGTTGTGCTCACAAGACCCAGGGAAATCTGAGAGCAAAATCTTAGGTGCCATGTGAGTTCAGGCACCTCTAGGGTTGGGGCACGTCCAAGCTAGGGCTTGGGGGATCGCAGGGGGGCCTGAAAGTGGCACTCAGGTACCCTGGTCTCTGTGTGGCTTTGGCTGTGGGGTTATGGTGGGGACTTCCCGCCGCAGAACTGTGTGTTGTGCACAGAACTTGCGCTCTGCTCTGAGCGTGGGGAGCGAGTGAATGGGTGAGCCAGGCCCAGCACAGCTCTACTACCGGTATGTGGCTTTGGGTGCGTCACTGCTTCTCCCCTGTGCCTCAGTTTCCTTTTAGTGGAAACACGAGGCTAATGATCCCAACCTGTCTCCCACGGGCAGGGGGATTTCTCCGTCGCTGTCTGGGTCCCTGGAGGGCGTGGAGCAGAGGGGTGCAGCAGGTACTCAGCATGCTGCGCAGGACCTGGCCCTGGACATACCCGTGCGCCCGTATATGGGATGATGGCAAACTAGTTGAAACTATAGTAAAGAACAGACACGTAGAAGAACGTTGTGTGATGGAGAAGAGTCTACGTGGCTTCTGTAAAGGGGAATCCTGCCTCACCAGTCTGTTAGGGTACGTCGACGGAGCCATGTAGATTTGTTTGTTTGGCAAAGGGAAATGAAGTCGCAATTGAAATGGCTGCCGCGCTGAGCTGACAAACAGCTGATCAGCTGTTTGTCAGCTCAGCGCGGCAGCCATTTCAATTGCGACTTCATTTCCCTTTGCCAAACAAACAAATCTACATGGCTCCGTCGACGTACCCTAACAGACTGGTGAGGCAGGATTCCCCTTTACAGAAGCCACGTAGACTCTTCTCCATCACACAACGTTCTTCTACGTGTCTGTTCTTTACTATAGTTTCAACTAGTTTGCCATCATCCCATATACGGGCGCACGGGTATGTCCAGGGCCAGGTCCTGCGCAGCATGCTGAGTACCTGCTGCACCCCTCCTTGGAGGGATTCCCCAAGCTTGTGGACAAGAGGGATCCAGGGGATCCGGATTGCCAGAAAGCCTTCCACAGGGAAGGCTCATGAGTCCAGTCAGCACTTGTGGGATACGAGGGAAGGCCCTCTCCTGCACTGCTAACTGGTTGGAAGACTGGAAACTGGGGAGAAATAAACGGAAAGTTTTCAGAAAGGAGAGAGGGAGCTTGTGCTGTCCTGCAGGAGTCCCTACTGGGATCAATCCTAATCAGTATATTCTTGCCTGTGGAAACATCACTTAAATGTGCTTGGGGCTAACAGGCTCTCCCTGGGGGCCGGTGGGTAGGCTCAGCGCGTGTGGGTGCCAAGCTGCACTGGTCCCTGTGCCCTTGCCTTTCTGTGATGGGGGGGGGGCTGTGCCCTTTCAGTCTTGCCTGTTGCGGCTCTTCCCCTCCAGTGAAATGTGCCGCGGGCCAGGTTCTCGGCTACCTCTGCGCTCTAGTCCAGGTGTTAGGATACTCGCCTGGGTTGTAGGAGACCTCAGCCAGTTGGTGGGGGTTTGTACTGGGATCCCCTGCCTCCTAGGCAACCGTCCTTTGGGGTGGGCCAGCCTTGTCTTGACCCCCCGTCCCAGTTGACGCTCTCTAGGGGTGGCTCACTAGTGACGCTCCCCAGGAGGTGGCAGACCCCAGATCCACACCCCTCCAAAGAGCAGGGGAGTGCCAGCAGAGCCGGTCTTACCATGAGGCGAACTGAGGCAGCCCCACCTCGGGTGCCAAAATGTGGGGGGGGGGCGAATTAATGTTGTAGTGTAGACGTACCCTCAGAGATTAGTTATTAATAGTTTACACTCATGCTGGAAGGGAATACCAAGGGTTCCGTAGAGGTCAGTTTTGGGACTGATTCTGTTCAATATCTTCATCAATGATTTAGATACCAAACTGGGAGGGGTAGAAAGTGCTTTGGAGGAGAGGGTCAAAATACAAAATGATCCTGACAAACTGGAGAAATGGTGTAAAGTAAATAGGATTAAATTTAATAAGCACAAATGCAAAGTACTCTACTTAGGGAGGAACAATCAGTTTTACACATACAGAAAGGGAAGTGACTGTCTAGGAACAGGGCTGGCCTTACCATGAGGTGAACTGAGCCGGCCGCCTCAGGTGCCAGACTGTGGGTGGGGAGCGCCACTAAGACCCAGAGTGTAGAAAACTGTGTCTGCTGCTGGTGCAGCAAGGAGGCTTGGGGAGGGGCCTTTGAGCTCCCCGCCTCAGGTGCCAAAATGGTGTGGGCCGGCCCTGGTGCCCTGGGGCGCCTGCCACAGCCTGGGCGTGTGTCCTGATCACGGTGGACTAGAGCGAGGGGGTTTTACTGCTCCGCAGCAAAGCCTTACTCCAAAACAGCAGGAGGGGCCTGCCCGTGGCCTCTTGCCGCAGCGCAAGGGCAGAGATCTCACACCCCAGAGGCCCTGTAGTCACCCAGCCAGGGGATTTGATCCAGGGGCACCTGCCCCCCTCCCATCCCACCCCAGAGAGCTCCGGAAGCTGGTTGTGCTCCGGTTACCATTACTAAAACGGCGCTCTTGAGCGGGCAGAGAACAGAGGCCATTCCCCCTCCACAAGCAGAGCCCACTCCAGCACAGTGAGGGCTGAGGGGCCCTTCCCCCAATCCCCATTCATAGCTCTGGCAAGGCAGAGCGCGCCCACATGGGACTAGCGCCCACTTAGCACTTAGACCATTCACCTGCGAGGCCGGAGCTCAAGGTTCAACTCATCCCTCGGGCAGAAGGATCGGGCTCTGAGCCCACCACCCTCTCCCTGCTGGGCCCATGGGCCCACCGCTAGACTGGCCCTGAGGAGTGAGTAGACAAGATCCAGGGCTCTGTCTCGAGGGGGCAGCCCTGGACTGTCGCACCAGCACGCTGGATACCATGGGCTGCATCATGCTTGCAAAGAAGACAGTAAGTGGGAAACGGCCAGCTGCGGCCCCCTTCCGGAGCACCTGAAATGTGCAACCATGGAACCATGCAGCAGTTCAGAATCTTCCTCTGTTGACGGCCAGCCCCCGAGGGGTGACAGCTAGCACTGGACAGCTTGTGCCTGCCACCTGCCCCTCCGTGCAGCATGGCCGTGTGAGCTCCTGTGCACAGAGACGATGCAGCTGACGTAGGCAGGCTCCAAGGTGCTCCCACGCTGAGAACGAAACAAACCTCAGACAGATTCGGGGGCAGTGGGAGCAGTGAAAATGTTTCAACTGGTTGCAAATTGCTGTCATCAAATATAGTGCACCAGCCTCTTGCCTTAGACAGTCAGCAGCTCAGAGTTAGCTATAGGGCTTACATAAGAGTACATGTTATAGGCGGTTGTTCTACCGCTCTCCTACTAAGCGTTATCCTGTTATGTAAGTAGTGTGTACATACTGCCAGTGGAGTTAGTGGTAAGATAATGACAGCAGGATCTGTGCTTTAGGTTTATAGCGCCAGCTGAGCAGATCACATCAACAATGCATGTTTTATAATTGGCGGGAAGGAGGCTCAATATCTGCATAACTTCATAAAAATGTCTCCGCTTAGTCCATTCTACAAATAATGACACATATTTTGACATACTAGATGACACAAACAACTGGCTACTGGATCTTCTTGAGGAAGGCAGAAGTAGTGCAGGAAAATCCATAATTTATCACGTGAAGCAGAGCGTTCTCCAAACTTTCCAGAGAAGTGCTATGCTGAGTCCAGTATCAGAGGGGTCGCTGTGTTAGTCTGAATCTGCATAAGCGGCAAGGAGTCCTGTGACACCTTATAGACTAACTGAAGTGTTGGAGCATAAACTTTCATGGGCATGCATCTGACGAAGTGGGTCTTTGCCCACGAAACTTATGCTCCAACACTTCAGTTAGTCTATAAGGTGCCACAGAACTCGCCGCTTATGCTGAGTCCATAGTCACATCAGCAGTCGTATTTCTTGCTTTCTGGCACTTGTCCACAAGTTATGGCTTTTTCTCCCCAATGTAAATGTTACCAGGCATCCAACCGGAAAACAAGTAACAGGAGGTAGAAAAACTGCACCATTACCACCATCTACACCCATGCTGGTGATCACCACCAGATATATGCCTGACAAGCAGCAACTTGTCCTAGCTCATGAGCTACCCGCGTGCCCCAAACAGGTGATGACTGGTAGATGCCAGACACCTGTGTCTGCCGGTGGACAGCTGTGCCCGGCTGTAGGTACCTGTGGAGGGGAAGCCCTGCGCATCTCTCAGTTCTCAGAGATCAACCCGGACTTTGTTGTGCAACTTGTGTGTGTCTGGACGCTCACCAAGTGCCAGGCGTCCACTCCGGCCCGCACACTCACCTCTGACTGGAGGACGGTGGGGTCCCAGCACGGGATTACAGTCACCGAGAGTGACAGCTACAGCGCCAGCTTATCGCAGGACACGGGTGAGTCGGGGGGCGGAGGAACGTGGCTGCAAAGCCCAGGAGCTCGCACACCTTGGGGAGCCAAACAAACCGGGGCCAGCAGCACTGCCAATGGGAGCGACTTGTGGCCCGTCTGCCCTCTGCCATCTCCGGCAGGGAACAGCCCCGTAGCCACAGGAAGCCTCCCTCTGGCCCTGCCGCTTTGCTGCTGCAGCCAGCTTGCATGCCTGTTAGCTGGGGTGTCCAGGCAGCACAGGGAGCGGGCGGGGCATGCCCCAGCAATGCTTGTGCCAAGCACGCCAGACGCATTCCCATCCCCTGTGCCTCACAAGAGACCAGCCTGCTACACCTCCACGCCAAATGGACCTTTTGGTTTTGTATAAACTACCCGGGGGTTAAACAGACACCAATAAAAAGGAATGCATTTGGTTTGGCTTTAAACCGGCGATGGGCAGCACAGCCTAGTGAGCGGGCCTCCTCCCTCAGCAGCTGCAGGATTGCTGACCACGACGTGCCCCCAGGGTGGGGACGGTTGTGGAGTGGGCTGTAGCAGCGCTGTGCCGGGGCGCCAGGGGAGCGTGGGGCTCAGTCAGCGTCGTGGGCACCTGTGCCTTACAGGTGTGTCGTTTTAGTAACAGCGGTAGGAAAAAACCAAAACGTGGCAGAATCTGACAGTCCTGCACGTGGGCAACAGCAAACAACCTGTCTCACAGGCCACGTGCAGCCTGCCCTCCACTGGCTTAAAGGGTGCGTTGTGCATTGACAAACAGCAGGCGCACAAAGCAGAGTTGTTAACAGCTACACAAAACCAAAACTACTGCGGTGGCTGGTGATTGTGTAGGGTTTTAATGTTAAAATACAAAGTTTTGAAAACCAGCCAGCTTTTAGGCAGCTGTTTCACTAGCGAGCTAAATGAGCCCCAGCCTGTCCGGTGGGCCATTTCTGAAGCGCTGCGCCCACCTGCTCTGGGATGGCTTTAATTGTGTCCCTGTTCTCAGACAAAGGGCGGAACAGCATGGTCTCCACGGAGAGCGCCTCGTCCACGTACGAGGAGCTGGCCCGGGCCTACGAGCACGCCAAGCTGGAGGAGCAGTTGCTGCACGCCAAGTTTGAGATCACAGAGAGCTTCATCTCAGACAGCTGTTCCGACGCGATG